CGACTGTGAGTCCCCCCCCCCCCCCTTCGCTTGCTGCCGCTTGTTCGTTCGTTGGGCAGAAAATCCGCACCATCGAGCTTGATAGCAAGACCATCAAGCTGCAAATTGTGAGTGTGTTTGTGATGCAGTGTTGGTTACATGACTGGAGAGCGGTGGTCGGTTCCAGTCGAAGGAACCGACAGTCTGTCTGCTGTGGACGATGTTCGGTTGTCGGATGGACCACTTGCCAGGGAACTCCTTCTTTCTCTACTATCTGAGAGCAGCAGCAGCAGCAGTATTGATCTCGTCGTCGCTCTGTTTGCCTGTGTACAATGACGGGCCCTATTCTCTGTTACTGTTGTGTACAAGCATTCATTGCCGAGTTGAACGCGCACACACTTTTGACATTTTGGTGTTTGCGACATGCATCTATCTCATCCTGTGGCCTCCTGTCTGTACCGTCGTGCGCGCCTTCCTCTTGTTTCTCCCGTTGTGCTCGGCGGTGATGACATTTTCGTGCTTTTTTTCACCACTCTACTATATTTTACCGCTTGTTTTACACTGCTTCTCTTTTTGTGGGTCGTCGTCGCCCGTTTGGGATGATCTGTGAACACTTACTGCTGTGTGCTTGTGCGCGTAGTGGGACACTGCGGGACAGGAGAGGTTCCGGACGATCACGTCCTCGTACTACCGGGGAGCCCACGGCATCATCGTGGTGTACGACGTCACCGACAAGGAGTCGTTCAACAACGTTAAGCAATGGCTCCACGAGATTGACAGGTGGGTGGCGAGGTTCTGTTGTTTTGTATATTGTCATGTTGGCGTCGACCGCGCTAAAAGGGCTGACCAATGACATGCGTCAGTCTCACCGCGGCTGAAAACAGAAAGCCCTTGTAAAAGCCATCTCTCTCTCTGTGTGTGTGTTTGTTACATCGATCGTGTCAAAGCTTGTCAGCTGACCAATTATATATTGTAGTCGCCCCTGTATAGTGCCGGTTTGTGTCGAGAGATTTTACCGGCGCTAGACCGGACACCGTCACTGTTCAAAGTACAGAACGACTTGGTATTCCAGTGTGTGCTAGCCGAGAACACCGGCACTACAGTTAGGGGTGTCAAAGCGGAAAATTTCCTACAGGAACAAATTCGAAAAAGCGTCCTTGGATCTTGCTGATGGAAAATCGACCAACCAATGAAATTGCACAGAACCGTCAGAACCTCCCGAAAAGACCCTCCGACGTACACGCGCGAGGGCGCGGCTCGCCTGTGTGCTTTGCGCCCTGCTATGGGGCACAGCACAACACCATTGCACGGTCCCACTCTAGAACACATGCCTCATGACACACCCGAGCAGCAGCAGGGCGGTGAAGCCACGCAGACACCTGCCGCCGCCGCTGCTGCTGCTGAAAAAGCAGCAGCAGCGGCGGCGGCGGCGGCGGCGAGGTTGAGCCTGGCTCTCTTCCACAATTTCTTACTTTTGACCAACTCCTCCTTCGTTTCCTCCAGCGTTCTCTCAACGACGGCGAGGCTGCCGCGTTCGACAGCGCGCCGCGTGTTATCTTCTGCTGACGCGGCAACCATACACTGCCCCGTCCTCTCTTCAAACTTCGTTTTGTTTTGATTCAGCTTTCGCGCAGCGCGCCTCCTGCTGCCGAACGGCGCGGACCTCGTTTTTTTTTTTGGGAGGGTCTGCTTGTGTAGGCGCTGCAGCCCCACTGGAGGGGCCGTTTTCAGACATGTAGATCTCGTGGTTGGCTGATGCGATTCGGATGCGGTTTGTTGTGTGGTATAGCTGTAAACCAAAGGTAGAGGGCTGTAGGGTCGCTTTCACGAGAGGAGCAAAGGTCGCCTTGNTGTGTAGGCGCTGCAGCCCCACTGGAGGGGCCGTTTTCAGACATGTAGATCTCGTGGTTGGCTGATGCGATTCGGATGCGGTTTGTTGTGTGGTATTGCTGTAAACCAAAGGTAGAGGGCTGTAGGGTCGCTTTCACGAGAGGAGCAAAGGTCGCCTTGGGCGTGGAGCAACGAGCCCAAAAAAAAATGTTTTTTGGTGTTGTTCGTCCGCCCTTTAACTTAAGAGAAAACCTACCCTACAGTCACCTCTATTGGACCTGTTTCCAGGTGTGTGTAACGCATGAAGAGCCATGCTGCTGTCTGAACCCAGAGCTGCCTGCACAAACAAATTGACATCATGTATAGTTAATTCAGTATTAACAGCGGGATTCTCAAGAACCAAAAAAAACAAAACAATCTGAGTGCCCCCCTCAAATTTTGCCGAATGGACCGGACGTTTTCTTGGCCCCAAATTCCGCCGCTTTGACACCCCTAACAGTATTCGACCGGCACTACACAGGGCTCACTACTTCGTAGTGGCAAGTTAGTCTTACCAAAGTGCGGCCCAATATGGAATACGCTTCGACTGACTGTAAAACCCATCGTGTGGGGGCCGGTGAAGGGGGTCACGGGGGAGGCTTAGCTATTTGTTGTCCAAGATGAAGACAGAAACGACATATTGCAGGTGTATGTGTGTTCGTGTCGTACGGTAGGGAGTGGCAAGAGTCAAGCTGCAAAGCGACCGCGTTGACAAGGAGAAGGTGCTGCGGGTGTGCTTGCCCAGCGGAGGGAGCAACATGAAAGGATGGCACGGGTGCGCTCGCTCTGCGCGGTGGCCTAAAGCAGGAAATCCCGCACATAATGCCTCTCTCTCACAACTGTGCTCACCAGCACCCTATCGCTTGCAATCCTCATGTGCCCGTGCTGTTGCTGCTGCGCACAGGTATGCGTGTGAAAATGTGAACAAGTTGCTGGTGGGGAACAAGAGCGATCTCGAGGCTAAGCGCGCGGTCACCACGGAGGAGGCCAAGGTGAGAGGACAAGAGGCGACATACTCTTTGCAAAGTCTAGACAGGATAATGTGGTACAACTTGGGGGCGGAAGGGAGGGTCTACTGTTGTTGTTGATTCGGGGAGTGGCAAGAAGGTAAGAACAATCAAACCTCGTCTGAATGGAGCTCTCAAGGAACGCTCTTCTCGAAGTCCTGGGCCTCCCTTCAGTGTCTCTTGCGGTACTGTGTGTATTCCATTTTGATGTTGCATGTTGTGCTAGGGTTGCACGGTTGTAAGTAATTTTGTTGAGTTTTTGTTTTGCCTGCATCCAGGATATACATGATCAACATGCTGACACCTTTTTTAGGCCGACCGGGCATAGCCTTGAAGTACACTTCCAGCACGATGCCCAGTCGACTTACAACAATTGTCAGGATGCCTGTTGCGTCTTGACTGATCTTACTCTTGTAACCGTGCAACCTTAACACAACGCGAACAGCGACCCGTCTTCTATCTACGTTCGTATGCATATACAAGCCCGATCCTCGAACTCCATCCTTATCTGTGTTTGATTATCTTCAGAAATGCTGCGATACGATAGTTCCGTTTCTGCGCCACAGGCACCCCCTTCGCCAAAGGGGGACGATTGTAACAGGTTGCCAACGACGACAGGATGTACACAAAATGGTGCACGCGTCCATCTCTATCCCATCTCTCTTCTCCACGACAAATTATTTATCTCTTGGTGTCCATGTTTTTTATGCACAGCAAGCACTCGTCAAGAACGGTACCCCATGCTATGAATGTTATTCCAGTAGTCATTTCGACAATCCAAAAATGTGCGTGTGTTTTTTTTTGCACCAGGCATTCGCGGACACGCTCGGGATCGAGTTCCTCGAGACTTCGGCAAAGAACGCCTCCAACGTTGAAAAGGCCTTCATGATGATGGCCAGCCAGATCAAGAGCCGCATGAAGAGCCAGCCCACGGGGGCGCCCCGCGGCGGCACGAGGCTCACCGCCTCCACACAAGTCTCGGGGGCCGGGTCGGGCGGTGGTTGTTGCTGATTGGTCGAGGCTTGCAGAGAGAGGCCAATGAGAGAGAGAGTCGCTACCGAGGAGTTGCTGCTGGTGTCGGTGGTGGATTATGCGATCGCGACCGGGTCCCGCAGACGCTGATCATCACTCAACAGCAGACGGCCAGCGACGAAGCAGAAGGCTTTCTGTTTTTTTTTCCGCACCCCCCCACCCCACCGTTGTCAATCGCTTTTATCCCCGCCCCAGAGTATGGGGTCGAAGTAAAACGGGGGACTTCGGTTCCCACCCGATTTTGTCCTCGCTGCCCACCAGTCTGGTCCAGTGGCGACTGCGGATACCGACAGGGAGGAGGCTCAGCGGCTTTTGCATCGCTGTCGAAAAGGCAGCAGGAGGAGAAGCCTGCGGTGTTGTGGTCGATTGAATGAATGCCGCAAATGGCACTTGAAGAGTTCTCGGCCGTTGTTTGCTTTTTGGGTGGGTCCGAGGAGGCGGGCTCAGGCTTATGTTTTTGAGGTGGGTTGGACATACCACTTGGATAGGGAAAGAAGGAGGTGGGACATGGACTTCACTTTTTTCGTTTTTGTGGGTGACGTTTTTCGTTTTCGGGTAGGCGGGGATGGCAACTAACCGGAGAAAGTTTTTAGGCACGTAGTGGACAAGCAGCAGTAGAGAGCCGCAGTAGCCCTCTTGTCCCAAAAACTTGTAAACTTGAATGGGCACACACCCTTCCCTGCTAGCAGTAGCGTCTCTGCAACGGCCTACTTTTTGGTCCTCTTGGGGGGGGGGCGGGGAGGGGGAAGGCGTAGTTTCGAAGAAGGGATAGTTCAGATGATGGGGTCAGGTTTATGACCCTTCCCACCTTTTTTTTTTTTGGCCAAGCTCTAGCTCGAATCTCCGGGACTTTTGGTCGGGGAGATGCGGCAGTATTGGAGGGAGGCTTGTTGAGTAGTTCCGTCAGCGACACAAAGAGCGGCCCCGACCTGCTGTGTGCACCCCCCTCCTTCGCTTTTTTTTGTTCTGTTGTTGCCTTTGGTATCTTGACTTGACATAAGTGGTTTCGCGCGCAAGGTGCGCGTAAGGTGCATTGTTTTGTTTCTGTTGCCGGCCTGCCTCTTGCGCCACCGGTGTGAAAGGGAGTTCGGCGTTTTTTGTTCATGCCATCCAACTTTCGGGGGCGCCGCGATTTCTTCTCTTGTGCCGCTTTGCGAACGAAGCGCACAGGGGAAAGGAAGGCCCGAGGCAGCAGCAGCAGCAGCCGCTGCCGCCGCCGCCGCGTATTATGAAAGTGTGTGTTTTTTTCGCCTGGTACGGTATCCGCGCGCTCTGCAGAAAAGTGGCCCGGTTCGTTCAGGCTCCGAGAAAAAAAATAAACGGTCAGAATTCGACAAAAGAAGGAAACAGACAAACGTTTCTTCCTGATATTTTGACAGTTTGTTGGGCGCAGGAAAGAAAGTTCAGCGACAGGAAAGCGATAACTTTCCTGGCGAATGCGCGGGAGGGTAGACTGTGTACGGGTGAGAGGCACCCAGTTTTCCATGGTATGCACAGCCAGCCGCGTCACCAAGTCTGATGGGTTTTTGGAAGAGGAGAGAAACAGGAACGAAATCCACGAAAAAAAACGAATGAGGGGGTCCTGGCTGCTGTTGTTGTTGTCTTCACATTTATAACCGTTCCGGTCTCCGCTCAGTACCTTCCTATGTCCGTACTGGGCCAACTGACGCGGACGCCTTCCGTGGTCACAAGCCAACTGCCCCCCGTAGGCGCGATCCGGAGTAATACGTTCAGCTTTTTTAAGGGGGGGGGGACAGTGATGAACCATCCCCGGATAAGGTCTGATTTTTTTTTCGCTAGTACCTTGAGGTATGAGATGGGCACCACACGATTCTTTTTTTTTTTTACACATGTTTCTTGCCGGGTTTCAATCGATTCCATCTTATTCCTGGGAATATTTCACCAAAACGCAAAAAGCGGGGATGGTCCAAAACAATCCCCGGAATAAAAAAAGTGTCCAACCCAGCTGAAAATTTCAGGTCATGGTAATTTTGGGATGGGGATTACGAATCCGTGATCAGATTTTTTTTTCTTGTTTTCATTTTTGAGATATCGACGTGAATATTGACGTTGCCAAGAACGGCATCATCACAAACAATTTCCAACAAAATTTACACGCCACCTCGCCCCTATCCCCACGTTTCCGATACCAAAACACACCGTTAACGCCAATCGCAACGTGCAATTGCCACCTCGCCCCCTACTCTCACGTTTCCGATCTCACCACGCACGTTTACGCCTAAAACGACGTCCAACAACAAACAAAAGAAGCAGCACAATTATATCCCCGGCTGTCTCCGGAAACGGACAAGAAGTGTGGATTCTTCCTCTCTTTCAAGCTCCTTCCACAAATTGAAAGCAATCTTCGAGTCGCTCGCTTCCCACTGAGTCCCAGTGAGCCTCGCCATCTCACACGTGCTTTGTCGGGACCTGAAAGTGATGCCAGCTTTGCCTTCGCTTTCCAGCGCTACTCCGGTGTCCATGATGACCGTTTCCTTCACTTTACCCTCCCTCATTGGGGGAACCAGGTCCGGGTACGCCCGGTTGACGTAGCAGTCCTCGTACTGAAAACGCTGGCACGCCGAGCAAAAACACGACGCCAAACGGGTTCTGAGCATGTGCACCCGGGTCTCCTTCCTCACAACAACCACCTCCTCGCCCGACATCGGTTCGACAGGTCCGCTTCCCTCGACCCCTTTCCACCTTCCCGAAACTTGCATCACTCTGACCCCCCCAAGCCCCGCCAATCGACTCTCCTCTTCTCCCGTCGAACGACCCCCCTCCTCCCTTTTCAGCGCCAGCTTGATGTCTTCGGGGTCTTCCGTCGTGGTTTGCGCGTCGTTCCTGGGAGTGTTGGCCCCCACGAAGTGGTGTCTGTCTCAATGACAAGGTCGCCGTCCTGGAACGTCTCCAAGCAACGCCCGTGGCAGTGCCTCTGCCACTTGGCGGTCGCGTGATGAGCCATGTAAAGCTTGCTGTCCTGTTTGAAGGCCTTCCACAGGTCGCAGAGCCTGCCCTCTTTGGGAATGGTCTGGTTCGCGAGCTTCTTGGCTTTGATCTTCCCATCTGCCGAAGCAGGCACCGTGATCACATCCTCGAACTCCTTCCACTCGACCGTCTTCTGAGAAGTCTCCAGCCTGGTGCAGGTGGGGATTCCCTTGGCCCCCCCGAACCCACACTCCTTGCACTTGAAGGCGCTACATTCCGGTTTCCGCCCCATGAACCCAACATTATCTTCCGGGTCCTCTGCACGCAAGTTCACCTTCGGGCAAGCGATCGCATCGGAGAAAGTTCCTAGGTGCTTCCAAGTCTCCCGCCATTTGCTGCCTCCGTCCACGGTGCACCATCGGCACGAGCAGTCTCCGTGGCTGGCCATGTCGACGTTCGCCAACGCCTCGATGTACAGCACCTGTTGCGAGTGGATCTTGCACGCACACTGTTCCATGACAGGAAGGGTTAGGCACTTGCACCGCGTCGATAGGAAGAGCGTGCGGCCGGGGTCAGTGAATTCGGGCCCCTGTCGTGACTTGAAGCTCCTGTAGTCCGCCCACTTGAGGAACTTCGCGTACACCGCGTCGCCCCCGCCCACTTCGATGAGCTGCCGCCTAGGATGGCGTTCAGCGTTGGGGGACTTGGACGAAATCCACATGTCACGGTCGGCCGAGTTGCCGCTCGCGCGCGACACCTCGTCCGTGTGCCAGTATTGCCGCATTAACGATACCAGTTCATCGCTGGCTGCGTCGCTCCTCTTGGCTCGGGGGGAGAACCAGTAGACACCGTCCTTCAACGCCTCGGTCGGACGGACATCGGGGTTCAACTTTTTGGCACGGCCTACCGCGAAGTTAAAGCTCTGTCTGCGGACGTTAATCGCGGCGGCCGTCCGTTGGGCCGATAGCTGCGAGCCCTCCTCATCTTCGACCATGAAGGCCGCCGCAGTGAGAAGTGTTTGCCATGTTCGATGCCCGTCGCTGGTGCTTCGTTGCTTCTGCGCCTGCTCAATCGCTCTCTTCAACGAAGCTCCGACCCTTGCCAAAACGTCCAGCTCTCGAATACGGCGACGGACTTCCTTCGCAGCGTCCAAACCCTTAGATGCCAAGAATTCTAGTGCGTCGCTTGATGACTCCTTGCTGTTCAAGAAAGCCAGGAAACTTTCCGCATCCTGGGTTCTCCAGTCAATCTCCGCCTTTATAATTGCATCGCGGAAGGGAGGATGGCATGAGAGTGGTCTAGCACGCAGCACTTGTGCTTCGAAAATGTTTGTGAATACTCTTGTTCCCGGCGGATCTAATCAAGATACTCAAATTTGCAGATACTCTACCTCGTTGCAGTTGCTATCTTTGGAGTGCTGGTGTAAAACGATGCAGCGATAGCCATCGGGACACACCCGTATCTAGGCAACTTTCAAAAGTGCTTTCGTGATGTTTACAGCAGTGCGGGAATCCCTAGCAGACTATTTTTTTCTCACCTCTTGTTCATCTGGCTTGCCCGTTTCCACCCCAGATCGAGTCCTTCCGCCACCCCGCAAAGCCACGATGACTGGGTCAGCTAGTTCGTCGTCAGCGTTCCTCCGCCTCTTCTTGCCGCTGCTGCTGCCACCAGCGTCCCCCCCGTTCTCCCGCAGGAACACATCTCGCTTCTTCTTCAGAACTCTGTCAGCCATCTCTAACGCTTCCGAGCTTACAGCCTCTTCAGTGTTCTCGACGTAACGTGTTTCCTTATCCGAGGGCCTATTGGGGCTCTTCTTATTCACAAACTTTGTCTCCAACCGCACCTTGTTGCGAGCAGCGTCGAATCTCCATTTGTGCTCGACAAGGTATCTGGTGCTACCAATGAAGACGATACGCTGGCATTTCCCAGGCTTTGTCAGCTGGCGCCGGCCCAGGGGCGGCGGTACTCATGATCGAGCCTCTGCGCAGCCGACTTTTGGTCTGAACAACTCTCTGAGTGGCTCTACCCCCCCTAAATCGGCCAAGCAGGATCGATTCAAGAGGTGCTCGAGACGAAAAAAGTTCAGCAATGCGGCGAAAAAAAAAAATCTCGGTCTTCCCGAACCGATTTTTTTTTTAGCAAGTTTTTATTCGACGGTTCTGAACGTTTGAGAGAGAACCAGAAAAACGATTTTCGATTTTTTTTTTTTTTGAGCTACGCAGGCACGTAGACGTCTGACTCCGGATCGCACCCGTAGGAGGGGGGGGTACATCTTTCTAAAGAATAACGTGAAGTAGCATACCAAATAGACACCAGAAAATTCCTGGTTGGTGCGATTATTTCGCTCCCCGGCTACTTGTACTGCAGCACAGCATTGGCCGAATGGCGTGGGAAGACCCGGCTTTCGAAGAACAGAATGATTGTGAGCAATTAGACCACGCAAACAAACCAGCCAACGCTCACGAGCGATAAAAAAGAGACTCCCGCAACGCGCGCCAAAGTGCTGTCACTCCATGACACTTTCGACAGTTGAAATAGGCTGCACCACGTGTCGCTGGTTATCCACCCCTCCCCCTCGCGGTGCCTCCGAAGTGAAAGTGATGTTGTCACTGCAGGAAGTCAGTCATCTGTTTGGTGTCACGTTAGTGGTTGCCCTTTCGTTGTTGTTCCGGTAGTCAGGATCGTCTGAAGGGGACCTGTCTATCTTCCTTTTCGTTTCCGGTGTCTTCCTCTCTCTTTCCTCTTGTTTCTTTCATCCCTTATTGACCGGGGTCGATAGAAAAACAAATCGCGCCGTTGAGGAATTTTTTCTCGTGTCCTTCTTTTTCCGAAAAGTGTGCCTCCCCCTGTGGTCGGGTAGTTGGCTTGTGACCACGGAAGGCGTATGCGTCAGTTGGACCGGTGCGGACATTAGAAGGTACTGAGCGGAGACCGGAACGGTTTTTAACGTGAAAACAACATCAACGACAACAACCGCCGCGCCCACAAGTGAGCGTGGTTTGCAACGGTTTGCCTTTTGCACTACTATACACCCGCTGAGCCAACCAAACGGAAATTACACTATCTTGGTGCACGTACCACGCACCGTTGTAGGCGTAAAATATATAACAAAAACACATCATCCAATCGTGCCCTTGATTACGCACGCAAACCAGCGACCTTTCCTTGGTGGACATGAACCATTCCAGGAAACTTCCTTCCGTGCGGTTGATCATCGCGCCGCAGGGGGGGGGGATGATTCATTTATTAATAGCACTGGTTCGCTTATGCAGTCAAGCTTATGTATCTGTGAAGGTAAAAAAAAAAAAAAGGCCTGCCATTTCTCGGCAACCAGCCCAAAACCCGATCGAAGCCAACAGCAGGAGTCCTCTTTACACCTTCGAAAAAATGAGTGGCAAATAAGCCTGGTTGGTCACTTGTCGACGTAGGCTACACACGTGCGGTGCCGTGTGGAGTTGGACCGGACCTCCGGATTCCTGAATCCCGCGGCCTCTAGCTCCTTACCCAGGTCTAGCGAGATGTACTCCTGCAGGTAGGGCTCCGTGCTCTGAAACATATAGAAGGGTGGTACACGGAGGTTGTGCAGGAATTGACGTGCGGTTCGAGAGTAGGGGTGGGGGGTTGGTTGAGATCAGGGGATGGGAGCGTACGGGACATGGCCCAAGCATCTCGGCACCATGGACGAGGCGAGCTGCAGAACTGGCCACCACTTTCGAACAAGCTGGAAGTTACACTACGCAGGCTCAAAAAGAGCAAATCCCACCAGCTGCAGAACAGGTACCCAGCTAAGAATCCTAAACTAATACCTATATAACAGATATCCTGTAATAACAAATAGTATGATCGGTGGTGAGGTACCCCACAGAGGAAGCGAGAAATAAGCCTTGGGAGCGCTATCATCGTTCGTTTTCTCTTCATATGACCCGCTCGGTGGTCTTCGTGGCCTCTGCCATTTGTCATCCTTCCCATGATTCACATCTTTCTCCCTGCATATGGTAGAAGAGTTGACGTTGTTGCGACCTATTGTACCATCTGAAATGCCAAGAAAAGCTAACCACAAAACCTTCCTACGTCCACAACACAATCACTCCATGGCTCTCTGTCGTGTCAGAACATGGTACAGAGCAGTAGACGCCGGTCCTTTTCCGCCAGACAGCACAAATACAGCGGCACGACGAACAGCCCCAGCGACCGGCACAACACACGAGTAGCACCGCCATGAGACACGGAAAGCAATGGAAAAGTTGGAAAACACAGCAAAGGCAATTCTGCTACATTGACAATGAACAGGGCACCAACGTCGATGAGTAACCGTGCGTTACCGCCGAAGGCGCGGCCAAGCAGCTACTCATAATAGGCCTCGCCCCGTGATTCGGGGCTCTCCCGCCGCCGGGGTGCTTGCTTCACCTTGTGACTGCTTACACCTTACATCCAGCGGCAGGAATAACAGCCTGCGTGTTCTCCCTCTCCCACTCTTCTCACCTTGAAGCCGGCGAAGGCGAACGGGTTGTTGGCTAGCTTCTGAAACGCGGGTGACTTGGGGTTCATGTCCTATTGTACCATACGTTCCAGCGGAGGGACGGCGGTGGCGGAGTGTGGCAACGGTGATGGCGGTGGTGGTGGCAAGCAAGGGTGACTCTTGGAGTGGGACAAGATGAGATCCACGATAGATACAAACTAGGCCTTTCTTTTCTTTCTGTATCTCTCTGTCTCTGTCTCCCTGTCTCTCTGTCTCCCTCTCTCCCTCTCTCCCTCTCTCCCTCTGTCTCTCTGTCTGTCTGTCTGTCTGTCTGTCTGTCTGTCTTGTCTGTCTGTCTGTCTGTCTGTCTGTCTGTCTGTCTGTCTGTCTGTCTGTCTCTGTCTCTGTCTCTGTCTCTCTCTGTCTCTCTCCTGCTCAGGCACACACTCTCGCTCTCACACACACGCTGGGGGGTATGAATATCGATCGAACTTGTCCCCCCTTCACCGTTGATGCGCGAGTCATGTGAGAAAATGCCCATTTTCACGCGACAAACCCATCTGTTTTTGGATAAACCGAACCCGCATGTCTGAGACTGCAGACCGTCAAGCACTAGTACTAGGTGCCACGCCGGCTGTCGCCAGCGAACAGCGTAGTATACGCACACCCACACAAACGAATCGTGTTGGTTCCCGGAGTAATCTCCAGTTTCAAGGAGTAGTCTTGACTGATACTGACTATTCAATCACCCCCCGAACTCTCGAAAAAAGAGGGCTACAAGTACACGATTTGAACACAAGCCCTCCCCTCCCCAAAGAAACAACCTCATCCGTCCCTTCTTCGTCGGTAGTCTCGCCTTGTTAGTAACAACAACCACTGTCCGTGATTTTCTACCCTCGCCTCCGCGCAAAGAGCCAGCCTCACTCACCATAAACGAGATTGCGCCGCCTGGACGGAGAACCCTGAACGCCTCTCGGAATACCTCTCTGTTCCGTTTCGATTACGGTTTCGGATTTTCCGCCGACGGTCGACAGACGGGGGCGGGGCGCCATCAGGCACACGGCAAAAACTAGCGCGCAAGAAACGAATCTCGTGGCGTCGTCGAGTGTGGCTCGTTCCGTTCAACCACGAACACGATCGATATTGCGGCTTGTTTCTGGGTGAGGAGTTCAAGGTTTCCTCTCTGGCCTCCACTCCGGCGGAGACAGCGTTCTTTTGTGTCTGCTATTCCCCACCACCACCCCACCAATACTCCACGACGACCTCGCCCTCCGCACCACTATGTGTATCTGTTTTCTCTACTGTTGTCATGAAGCCGATCGGGCCTAACAAAATAATACCGCATAGGAAGTCAATACATAGATCGAACGCACAACAAGCAGCAGCACAGGCATAATACTCGCCCTGCACTTACGCTATGAAGGGATGAAAAAACAAGTTTAGGTTGCATGCCAGCGGTGGCGGCGCTGCATGTATCCTCTGAACGTGTTCCCATCAAAGCCTCAACTCATACAATAGTCGGAAGCCATGCTCAGTCAGCGGAAGAGCATCCAAGGCCTACACGCACCCCCCTCCCCCACCAAGAATAATCCTACCGGCGCTCGCTTCTCCCAACACACGCACAAAACACCCATACCTAGTGGCGTCCGCCGGCAGCTCGTGGCTCGTCAGCGACAACGAGACGAGGTCCATGGACGCGTCCCCCATCCCCGTCATCTCCCCGGCGGCGTGCAGGTACTCGATCCTGCCCCTCGCGTGGCGCTGCTCCTCCCTCGTCCGGAGGAAGTAACGCCCCACGGCAAGCATGTGCGGCGACAGGTCCACCCCGGTGATCCTCGCCGACGGGAAGGTCTCCGCCAGCTTCAGGGTTGACAGTCCCGTCGAACACCCGATGTCGAGGATATCCTTGGGCTCGGGACCCTGGGGAATTGCGACGCGACAGCGGACAGCAGCAGAAGAAACAGTGAACAAGGCAGCAAAAACATGTTGGAGGTCCATCAATTGTACTTAGCGGCTTTGGATTCCGTTTCGACTCAACCGCGCATCGCCAATACGTAGCCGTGGTCGATACAAGGGACCAAGGGGAATAGCATCGACCCCTTCCCTCCTCGCCGCCTTTCTCTCCTACAACAAACCGGTTTGCCCCTCCTACCACACCCCATCATCATCGCAATCCCCAGTCCCAAAACGCAACCGAACGGGTACAGTAGTCTATATCTCTGTGTACGGATACTTTCTAAAAACTCCTATTTAGCCCGAATACCCTAGACTAGCTAGCCCTCGACGTACGGTCGTACCTTGAGCATCTCCTTCATCCTCTGGTGAAAGTTCCCCCGCAGCTTGTCGTCCCCGTGGCGCTCGTACACCCCTTTCTTCCCCGTGTAGATGTCGGCGTGGACACAGATGGCGGAGGGCTCGACTTCGAGCGCGGCCTGCCACGAGAGGTTGCCTTCCGGGTAGCAGTGGAACGGCGCGTAGTAGTAGGAAGGTGTTGACACCTGAGAGGGCGGGGTAGGGGCGGCGCGGGGAGCACGCGGGGGGGGGGGGTAACTACCCGGCACGGTAATCTCCTGCGTGGTATCACAAGAGAGTTTTGCGAGTCGGTGTTGCTCATCGTCCAGAAAGGCGGGATGAGCGACGGGAGGGTTATTTTTCGATGCCGCGAATCATGCTCGCGTTGTCTTGACGTGGCTATATATTAATACTAAACGGGAGCACGGATGGACCCCTATCGTTTGTCCACACGGACGGCAAGTGAATATCCGTCCCGTTGACCCCAACTACCTACGACTGACAAGTCTCTCTCCTCTCTCTCCGTCCCTCTCCCTGACCTTGGCGTCCAGCAGCCGGTCGTACTCGCCCTGGAGCTCGTCCATATTGCGCCTCATGCCGTCCACGTTCTCCGCCCACCCCACCCCGAGAGTGTAGGACCGCTTCACTATCTTCTCGCGCGCCTCTTCCACCATGTAATCGAAGAACGGCTCGAATGCGAAGAGAGTGTCGATCGCTTTCGAAACCACCTTCAGGCCCAGGCCGGAGGAACTGCTCGCATGTTACGTTGTTGATTGTTGATTGGAGGCATATTCCGGGTTTGGTAAGAATGTGGCGCGGAAAGGGCGAGGGAAGAGGAGGGTGTGGCCTCAATCTTTTTTTTGGGGGGAGCGTAAGACAAACGACACTTTCGGGCTTGCATGGACTTGTCTGGTTGTGTATTGCCCCTGTACTTGACGCTTGATGGCAACCTCGATATCGTGAGAAGGAAACGGGTTCTCCGTGTCTACCCCCATTCTCCTCTTCATGTCACCGCCGTTTCTACGAACGCTTCTTCCTTGTCATGACGCTATACCACCGGATCCTTACTCATGCCATCGACTTGCTCAGCAGGAGCATACTGCTGTGCGAGAAAACATGCGTGACATTTTGTCTACACGATCGGCGTGACACAGCACCAAACCACCGACCGCGTGTCAGTGATTCCGCAGGCGGTCAGCACAAAAAAAAAAAATGGGAGAGAAAATATGGCCATCGCCATCGCCATCGTCATTGTCAGCATGAGCGGCAGCATGAGCATGAGCAGCAGCAGCAGCCAGCAGCAGCAGCAGACGTGGATTGAAACGATACCCGAATCCCTCTGCATCAGCAACAGAGCTGTGTCCACCGCAAGCCTCAAAAGGGCATGTCCTAGTACACCCGACAAGGAAAAACCGCGGAGAATGCATAAAAGCGATTCACCGCTAAACGAGGCAACTCACCCCTCCTTCTCCTCCAGGCCCGTCAGCGTAGCGTAGCTGTCTTCCTCCGAAAAGGCGTTGGCGTGCATGCTTGACCTGTTGGGGAGCATTCCGGGGTCGGCGGCGAAATGCGGGCGTTGACAGGGAAACTACCGACACTCGGGGGCGTTCTTCACTATCTTGCGATGCCGTTCATGGCGCTGTCTACTTCATCGTGTCCATTCTCGTCCCGTCCCTGCAGTTGCCGATTGTGACCGACGTCTTACCGCCTGTAGGATAGACGGGGGGAGAGACTGGCGGGCGGGGTAGCTCATTTTCTGTTCGTTGTGATGCACATTCGAAAAAAGTGAACAAGCACCTTCCTATTCCTAGTCCAAACGACGGACTTCCAACGCGAGGTTTACCTGCTGTACACTTTGGCCTACCGACTGCTGTAACGCTGTAACTGCATGATCTCGTAGTCTACGGGAAAAACGTGCAGGGCAAGTGACACCGGGGTGCCTATCCCAAAAACCCTGGAGACCTCAAGCCTGGTGAGTGCGATCAGAGGAAAACAACACCAATAAGAGCAATCATCGTGCTGTCGTACCTCCTCCGCCGTTCATGGCGCTCACAGCCACCACGCTGCCGCTGCTGCTGCTGGTGATGCTCGTGCCGGCGATCCGCGTTATGGTGGTGGCGAGCGGAAGGTCGTCTCGTGGCGGGGGCTCCGCCGAAGGTGCCATGAGACAGCAGCAGCGCTGGTGTGTTGTTGCGGACGTGAACGTGGAAGGGAAAGTTTCACGAATGGCGGCTGCTTGGGCTGATTTGTTGGCACACTGGCAGCCTCTCTACTGGTCTCGGGGGTGATCGGGCACCGGGACCGCTACGCCTGGACGTGAGGAAAACGAACAACAGCTGCTGGTCACTTTACAGCAGCAGAACAAGCACTTCCAGCAATACACAGGCCTTGCTTCCCATTGCCCTCTGGGGGTGACCAATCGAACCATGATAGTCTCAGTGCGTGCGCGCGATACTCAGAGACAGAAGTTGGTATACCAGCAGCATCGCAGTCGGGGCACATGTACAAGACAGCGAGCGGTACATGTCACGCGTGTATGCATGTACCTGCGTGAACAAAACACACATGTTCATCTTCATGACCGATCTTACATTGACCAGACTGTAGGAAGGCCGAAGCTGTGCACGAGAATACAAGTGCAAACACCACTACCACGGAACTCAACCGCGGGTGAGACATGTCGTGGCGGCAGTATCTTGGTACACTCACAGTTTGTGTGCTGCCAGCTGGGGTTCCAAGCTTACGGCAAGGGCACACACGGCTTGGAATACATCTACTGCTGTACAACCGCACGCATCTATGGTGCTCTACTTGCGCCCCCATGCTCCTGCTGTCACCCGGGTTGCAAGGGGCTCCGTACACCCCATTTTTCTTTTTTTTGTTCTCGACCAATGACTCACGGAACCCCTCGCAGCTGGCCTTCACCATAGCGACCAACCGAAGTTTCTCAATAGCTCCGGCTGTAGTTGCGATCCAAAATTAGGGCAGCCCTCTATAGAATCGTCGTGGACACCTCTAAAGTATAGTGGCGTTGAAAAGGTGAAAGGGATCGCACCCGCGACGGACCTCGGAGCGTAAAGTCCGCCAGAGGGGTGGTATCTTCCGTAGAATCTTGCCTACCTGTCCTGCGTCTCCCTGCAACGAGAGAGGGATTAGGGCTGCGTGGAGAGATCTCTGAGGCGAAACGGAGGAAGGCACTGCCGTGCACAACCCACCCAAGGTATGAGCACTTCATGGATCAGAAACATGGGCGAAAATCACTGATAATCGGGCGAATCCAGAGACAAGATCATGTGCGGCACGAACCACCCGGGTGCAGCGGCAGCTATAGCTCAGCAGCAGCTATAGCTGCTTCGTGCAGGCTAAGCCGCCCTTTTGCCTGCACCCGAAGGCAATGGTCCTGTACGGTTACCAACCGCGACGCGTGATGAATGCCGACTCATGATAGGATTGATATTGCTAGATTTAGGGGCGGGCGACAAGATTCAATCTTGTGTGGTCCCCAAAAAATTTAAAAATGAAAATGTAGTCTAA